CCTGCAATGTTGCCGTCCAAATCCAAATGATGCACCTCTCCTTCCAGGGAAGGTAAGAAATACCGCGTGTACGTGGTCACGCCTCTGCTTCCGGGCTTTGAGGGAGACATCACGACAGGAGGAGGGAACGCCATCCAGGCCGTCATGCACTTCAACTACAGGTACGCCCCGGGATCCGGCAATAAAGCTGAGCTTAGCACTGCAACAGGAACTGAAAGGCCAGATGAAGAAGTTTCACCTGAAACTGATTCTGTTTTTTTTATTTGAAGTTTGCCTTAGTTTAATATTAAGTTGTCTGACCCTAAACGTTCTCCAATGGGTTTTAATCCTGTGTCCTCAGAACCATGATCAGAGGAGAGTATTCAATCATCTCCCAGCTGAAAAAAGAGAGTAAGTTCACGACATAAAGTTTAGTTTAGGCATATTGATGCCTGATGTGAAGTTCATTCGATGATGCAAAGGTGTTCTTATTTTTATTCTGGGCTCTATTTTTGGTCCGTTTCCTAGTGGATGACCAGTGGATGAAGTACATCTCCTTTGCGGGGCTGCGGACTCACGCTGAGCTGGAGGGACGCCTGGTTACAGAGCTCATCTATGTTCACAGCAAGATGCTCATCGCTGACGACAACACGGTCATCATTGGTCAGTCTATCCCTCGTCGCACCTTTTGCCTTATTATCGTTCTTGGGGTGTTTCCATCAGGAACCTTTTGAGGCAATGCACCACTCTGCCCGCAAAAAAACCTCAAAGCACAAGAGATTTAAACGTGCTATGAAAAGCACACAGCTCTTGGATGCCACCTGGTGGTGGATAGAGTACAGTTGAACCTTTCAAAATGTTTCAAAAGAAGACCCCCCTCCCCCATGCCCTAACGTTTAATAAATTTATTTATCACAATAAAGACATTTGAAATATGGATCTGAAATGTACTAAATATCAAATTAGTTAATTTAGGCATGCAGTAATTAAAAGATGCCCAAGGAATGTGTTTTTCTTTGTATGAGTATGATTCACATCATTTATTGAAAATGGGTTTAACAGAGTTTGCTTTTCTGAAGGTTCGGCCAACATCAATGACAGAAGCATGCTGGGAAAACGCGACAGCGAGGTGGCGGTGATTATTGAAGACTCTGAAAAGGTTCCTTCGGTGATGGATGGGCAGGAATATGAAGCCGGGGTCTATGCACTTCAACTTCGCCTCGAGTGTTTCAGGTTCGGTGTCTGTTAGTTGACGTCCACAGCTCGAGTTTAAATCTTGAGATCATCTAGTTATTTTTGTCATGTTTAAGATCCTGAGTGAATAGAAAGCTACTCTAGAGATGTTTTAGAGCCTTAAATCTACAAGACTATCTCAGTTGTAATTACACCACCATCATTCCAATTTATTTGTTTTTTTTCCTCAATTTTTATTAATCTTCTTAAACCCACAGGACCATCCTCGGAGGCCACACAGACACCAGCATTGACGTGTCAGACCCCATCAGCGAACATTTCTACAAGGAGGTGTGGATGACCACAGCAGGCCGCAATGCCACCATCTATGAGAAGGTGAAGTGAAACCACATTATGTTGTTCTGCTGGAGTAATTTGTCATGGTACCAGTAGCTTAAAGTGTGATACGTGAAAAAAATCACAGAATCCAAAGACAATAATCCCTTCATTTGCTGCTCTTTCATTCAAATGGAAAGGCTTTTGTTATCCAAAAATGCTAGTGATGGAGCAAATGCAGTGTGAATGTGCAGAGCTGCATGTTGATGTAACTTATTAACTTCCAGTAAGCTGCACTCACACCGTCGCATTTCTGCCACTCAGATTCGCTTTACCATCATTTAAAAATTCTAATTACATTTCGTGATGGCTGCTCCATTTCTAAATCACAGGTCAGTGCACCAGTGTGATTTACACGTCACACTGTGGTTGCCTTCACAACCATCTCATGCTTAGAGTGGACATTTTATCGATAGCTAACGAGACACTCAGTCCTTCTGAAAAGTAGATGCTACATGCATGAAGTATGATAACATTTGAAAAAAGCAAGCAAGAGAACAAAAAAATTATGGTGCATACATGTGCTGAAGTATAAACGACAGTTTAAATAGTTTTGTTTTGCTACAGCCTAACAAACCTGAAGTCTTAATATAGTTTTCTCAGAAACTTAAGATTGGGGCTGCTTCGCTCTGATAAAAAGTCGACACTTATATCAAAATGGACATCCAATAGTTAACATAATTAGTCAAGATAATCTAAACCATCTGTTTGGGAAAGTATTTTTCTGTGGGCATTGCCTAAATCAAATTCCTAGATCTTCTTTTGGCTCTACCTTGTTTACTGTTTATACTGAAACTTTGAGATACAACTGACTCATATTAGCCTCAGGGAACAGGAAATGTAAATGTTCAACGCTGTCCTTCATGAAAGAGTTAGGTTTTTCTCCATATCACACAGCAAAGGATGGACAGATGTATTATCCTCTCAGGACGCCTGTGATGACCAACAAATTAATAAATGACAACTGAGCGTGCGTTTTCGTTACAGGTGTTCCGTTGCCTTCCTTCGTCCCTGGTGAGAAACATGTCGGAGTTGGAGCAATTCCAGTCCAAGCCAGGCTTGGCCCAGACCGACCTGGCCCGCGCTCAGGAGGAACTACGCAAAATCCGAGGCTTCCTTGTCCAGTTTCCTCTGGACTTCCTGTCTGAGCATAATCTCATGCCTTCCGTTGGAACAAAGGAAGCCATGGTCCCAACTGAGATCTGGACATAAGGGACATGAAGCCACACCCACAATTCTATTGGTTATGATGTTTAATGAATTTTAAATGTTAAAGCAGCAAGAGACCACTTCGTAGACTCACTGGTGAGAGCTGAGAGTCGGCCTTCTAAATACTGCTGGGCATTGACAAATCTCTCAAATCATCTGAAAAGGAAGAACACTAACTTTAACAAGTTCCTGCTTGGTAGGTGAAATGCGGCATTGGAACACAGAGACAATGATTTGCTTTTAGGAATCAATGAAGCTTTTAGGAATCAATCACAGTTCGGGAGGCGGAGGTGTTTGAACTGTGCAAAGACAGCACACATTTCCACGGGACCAGGATGAGGGAGGAGAGATTTTTATTTATTTTCATGATTCTAACTTGCTCAGCTCCCCATTGAAGATATCACAGATGCATTACAGATGGTTGTGCCCATCCTTCTGTGAGTTTGTGATGTCAGCACAGAAGGTGTCAGTGGTGTGTGTGTGTTGTTCAGGAGCTCACAGCAGAATCGTTGAGCTAGTGTTTTTGCTGCTTTCCGAAAATTCCTTTTTTTAAAGCATGCACAAAGATATATCAGGAGCATTTTTTTTTTCTTCTAAGTTAGAGACTCTTCCTGGCTAAGGTGCTCTTTGTATGCCTAGTCATGTTACTGACCTAATGCATACTTTTTGTCTTTCTTTTTTTGTGAAATAGTGTAATGGCTCACCTCCAGCATTTCTTCTGTCGTCATTGAAAATATTGGCTCGTTATATTTGCAGACCCCTGTTTGCTGCTCTCTATTTATGTGTTACACAGCGTCGTTTTACACAAATGTTGACCGTAGTAGCACAAGCACAGATGAAGTTTCGCTCATTTGCCAGTGGTGCCTCATTTCATAACCTTGCTAAAATGATGCTACATGCGTTAGCTCCACCCCAGATACAATAACAAACTGTTCAGAGGCACATTGTTTCTTGCCGAGCCTGTATCGTGACAGATTTTCTATCTGTATGTGATTTGAATATTCTGCACAGCTACAATCTAAGTGAAGCTCCACCACATGTGTGGCAGTCTGTTCATTTTGTTAAATGGAGTGTAAAATCAGAGGGAAAGCAGCTGGATGAGACAATCGGGCTGTAAGTTTAAAGAAGTAATTTCCTCTTTGCTCAGCAGATGGTGCTAGCTTCTTCAAAATACAGTCTTCATTCAAAATTTGGGCAGGTATCGTAGAGATCCTTACCGTCTTGGTCTCTATACGTTTTGGAAAAGTGATTTATGACTCACTAAATGGGTTGGCCAACATGCAGAACTGATAATTTGCTTCACTGGAATATTGCTCACAAGATTTTATCTAGTTATGAATTCCCCCTGAATGTGAACTTAGAAAACCACTTCTTTGAAAAAAGCTGTGCTCAGTGCACATAAAAGCTTGCAGGCAGTTATCGGAGAAGACTTTCAGACATGACAGATGAAAGGCTAACACTGAAGGTGTTGTCAGAGAGAATGTTGTTGATCCATTTTTTAATTGGCCTGTTTTGTCAGGATGTTCTGTCTTCGCATGCAAGGGCTGTGACTACACTAGTCAGGCTTTGTTTTCTACGTCCCATGTCTTGCAGAAGAAGGCAATGGGATGAGCCGTGGGGCTGAAGAAGAGATACTAATTTCTTAATCGGGACCAGGAAATTAAATGTTGATTTATTTGATTAAGTTTTAAAGACGTATTCTTTTTGCCCCCCGCCTCATTGCTTTTGACGAAATTGTTGGTAAAGTTTACTTTTTGCTGAAGTTATGGATTATGAAGCATTTAACAATCTTTAAACATGTATTTATTTTTTGGGTGGTTGTGAATTTGTAACTCAACCACTCTTTCTTTTCCATAACCACCACAAAACTGTCTTTTCAGTTAACTCTGTTGATGTATAATAACGTTCTTTTTTTGTAAAGTTGAAAGTATTTCTAATTCCGCTTAACACTGTAATTTAAATGGCTTATAAGTAAAGCTTCTTTGACAATTTTGGGTCCTTGTCTGGTGTCATAATGTCTGATTATGATGTGTCTTCTACTCTTTCCAGGCTTTCATATGTTCATATAGAAATGGGAGATTTCAATTCGTGATTTTGTTCAAGTCTCTTAAACATGAATGGAATCCAAAATAACTGCCTTGCTCAACCCTTAACTGATTTTAGTTGCCTAACAAAGGGGAGGTGTCACCCTTTTGGCAAGCACCTCTCCTGTTTTGTCAAACGGTGCCAAAGACGGTGTATCCCCAGAAGTCGAAAGTAATTTCATTTTCTAATTTGGGTTTCAGTTAAGTTTGCATGATGATTCATCTTTTTTTCAAGCCCCCCCCCTTGAATAAAATCAAACAGATTTGATCCAAGGGATGACTATTGTACAGATTGCAAAAGTTAAAAAAGAAAAAGAGCAAAACAAGAAGCATCGAATGGAGAGTCTGAAGGTTTCTCTGCATCTGAAAACAGACATCAATCTGTGGCTGTGCTGTAAAAGTATAGAAATAGCTATTGCTGCAACAATTGATTGATTGAGACAAATGACTTTTTCCACTGTTATGCCACAGCAAAAAGAACTCCCACAAGTAAGCTCATGATAATTTCTGTGGAAATTGCTCAGAGCTGACGGCCTAAATTTTTCTTTTGAAGGCTGGAGACTGCTCTTTAAACAGATCACTTCCTTACCTGGAATTGCTAAAGCTGTTTTTTTAGTACTGGATTAGGGCTCTTTGTGAAATCAACACCCACCAAGTCTAAGCAGACCACATTCCTTAGAATGTTGTTGTCTATAGCGAGATAAAGTCCAAAAGAGAGTGCCTTTAACTCTTGATTGATAACTAAATTATATTTAGTTGAAAGAGCAAACTGACATTGGTTATTGCCTGTTGTTTCGACAGAGTAGAGTTTCCTCGGCCTGTCCTTTGTAATGTATTCATGTTTGATAGGAGAAGGAATATTACTCATGGAAAATAGAAGCCTTGTCTGAAATTGTGGGATGACTTGCACAATTTTACACATGAAATTAAGATTGTTCAATCAGTTTACGCTTAAAGGGGCTTAATGAGAGCTTTCCAGGATGCGAGAAATCCCATCTAACTATTCTTAAATTGGCTTAGAAATGAGACGGTACTGGTTGGATGATTCAGTTTTGGCCACTCTTCAGTTGTCAGAAAAGATGTATGACTTTGCGTGGCTTTCAAACTAGTGTAATAATTTCTGGGTTAATTTTTGCTGTTCTGTGGTCTTTCCATAGAAGTCTTGTTGTTTGTTCAGATGCAACTTTGCAAACCTAAACTCTGCTTGGGTTATGGAGGGAAGAGGCAATTATTCTCCACCTGTGAATAAAGCTACTTTTAGTAGAATGGTGAATTATTTTTTTAATGACTTTACAATCCTTTCCAGATAGACGAATGAATAGGTGGACTGATGAACATCGGATGTTTTCTTTTTGGTAGCGTTAACAAACACCTGAATGCTCTTGGCCAGCAATTGATAACACCTGTTTTTTTCTATAGTATGAAGGGAACAAAATGTGTTATCTGACCTTAATGGAAGCAGATGCTACTGGTAGATTTAAAACATCAGCAACCTCAGAACAAGAATGACGGGATTGTTTTACAGCTTTTCAGCATTGACGTGTCCTTGGCACAGACTTTTGACAGGCCAAAACATTTCTGTGGAAGTGATTAATCTCCAAATAACATTGTGAAACCCCGCAGCAAACTTGTATAACTTTCTGTGTTTGTTTGAACGTGTAGAGGTACTTCAAGTGTAAGAAAATCTGTGCAGAAATAACAAGAAAGCCTCTTATTTTGCAAAATGAGGAAAAGAGGTAGAGACAAATTTCACATTTTCCACTTAAGCATAAGTAGCACCATCAAACAAGTGAAACTGCTCCTGAAAATCTGAGAACAGAGAATAAAATTAGGGCAAGGTCGCGCTGATAGACACAACCCTTTGGCAAAATTCTTTAAAAGCCTCCATGTGTTCCATCCAGTTGCTATGCAGCTCATTCTTTCTAGGTTTGCGGGTGGGCTGGAGCTCACTATCCCAGCTGTCTAGGGGTGAAAGGCGGGTACGCAATGGACATGTCGCCATCAAAGGGTCACACAGAGACAAACAACCATACAGACTCCCATTTACTGTATAGGAAGTCTTCACTTAATCTTGCATACCTGTTTTTGAACTGTGGAAACTATTTAATGTGTCAATCTATTATAGTGTAAATATAAATCAGAGGTTTAGCATAGTAACTGGAGAATAAAAAATGTTATTTGTTATTGTAAATGTTTAAGAAGAACTTAAATGAAGTGTACAAGACACGGGTGGATATTTTTGAGACAATGGAAAGCTGCTTTAGACACATTAAAGCACACAAACATAAAACTGTTTTTTTTGTTTTTTCTTTTGCTATTGGGACTCAATATTGCTGTTATTTTTGTTCTTCCCCATCATGTGAATTATGGCTTAGTGGTGTTGGACATATGTTTTCTTGTTGTCTTGACATTCTTTCTTTTTTTGGGGAGTCCCATCTGTCAACATGCAAAGGTAAATTGAGTAAATCACCGTCTTAAATAATTCTTGAGCTGGGATTTTACATTTCACACAATATAACACCTGTACCACAGTCAGTCTCTGGGTGTTTTCTGCGGCATTAGGTGAAAATGGTTAGAAAGTTTGAGAGTCCCTGCCGCCCGGGCAGACCCCGCCTGTTACCGGGCGGGGTTTGCGGAGAGGCGGTTGCGCGCTGCGCTCCACTCTCCCTCCCTCCGCCCGCATATTTACGGCCAAGCTGTCATAGCTGCAAGACCAGTAGGAGCTGCACATCCTCCGTTAGCCTCACCTTCCCATGTACCGTCTACGACCCGCAGACATGGACGTGAAAGTGCTGCTGTGCACGGCGCCCTCGGTCTCCATCCTCCACGCGTTTGCGCTCTAGCTGTGCGCACCCGGCCCCGAAGCAACGTCCTGCCGCCGACCAGAAAGAAAAGAGAGGAGGGGGGGGGGGACTGGTATTTTCTTTCTTTCTTTTATTTTTTTCGTCGAGACATCACTGTGCAAGAGAAAGAGAGGAGACAGCAGAGACCGAGCGGCGAAAGGAGACCACACCGTGGGTCGTGACAGCAGAGGCCGTTTCAGGATATCTGGCAACTGAGAGCGGCTTTTTGTGTCCTCCATCATGGCGAGTGACTCTCCGGCGAAACGTCTGGACGAAATCGAACTCTCGGCCCTGAAGGTGAGACTATTTTCCTTGTATTTTTCTTAAAAAAAAAAAAGAAAAAGAAAGCGTAAAAGAAGCTGCGGTGTGTGTGCGTGCCTCCGTCTTTTGCACCTGACCGTGCTCCCTGAATAACAACCGGCAGGAGAGCGGAGAGGGCAGCCCGAGGCGGATGTGTGGGAGCCACAATGTGCCGAATTATAGCTCAAACTAAATAGACAGAGACTAACACAGCAGCTGCTTAATGCTTTTGAGCGCTATCTTCTTTTCTGCCAGTTACTGGAAGGTTGCTGGTGTAGATGATGCCCTACTGAGGTTTATGGATGGGATTTTTGCTGACCTGGAAAGGGGTTTGAGTATCTCTATTCTCTGGGTTAGCCTATTATGGGCTCATCATCCTTGCCTCAGAGTGGAATTTAACCTATTTCTACCACTCACTGCTGATACTTCAGGGCCACACAGGAAACTCAAAGTATTTTTTTTTTAACCTTTGTTCCCCTCTTGCCTCTGATGCTTTCTGTGTGCACAGTTTCTGTCTGTGATGGAAACAGACTACCGACCTACCTGTGGTCACTGGAACCTGTGCGCGAGCTCTCAGTGAGAGCAGAAGCTTTGCATGCTGCAGTATCCAGTTCTTTTGTCTCATCTGCCGTGTGCTGCAAAGCCCAACACATACAGCATCCCCACAAACAGCTTCCCTCTCTGGCGTTCATGCCTGGATACTCCCGCTCTGACTTGGTTTGGCTTTGTTCGAGCCATTCCTGGTCTCTGTGTGTTTTCTAAAGTCTGTGTGTCAGCCGAGCCCACACAGAGAGCTGCATGTACTCTGCTATCTCGTGTGTGTGGTAAACAAGTGAGATATGCCGCACATAACAACAGGGCTGCAGCTTCAGATGCGTTTGGCTGATCTGTAGACGAACCACATTTCGCCTTCTCCCTCACAATGCAGTTGTGTGCCCATCTGCATCTACCGGGTTCTTGATTGTGCCCGCATGCTCATTTTTATGCCTTCACTCTGCCTTCCGTCTGCACCCGCATCCCTCTGTCATCGTGGTTCCTTGTCTGTGCGTTTCTGTTTTGGTCACCGCTGCTCATCCATCCACCTGCGTGCTCATCTTCCTCTTTTTTTCTGTCACTTATAGCATCTGGCTTTCCAGTTCCTTGTCTGCCCTTCTGTCTGACTGACTGAGTGTGCTTCCCCGTCTATTTGCCAGCCACTCTGTGTCTTATCATTATGTGTCAGTACCCACCTCCCCGAACAGAGTCATCTTTGTTTCTTGTGAACGTTGGACGAAGCCGGTTCGGATCTGTGAGAATGAAACGGTACCGAGAGAGATTAGGAATGTGGGGCAAGTGTATCTGCATTGAGATGTCTGATTTTTCTTTGTGCTTTTCGCACGTAATGCGACATTCTCGTCTGTCAGTCGGCTTACACTTAGAAAGTGTCTTAGAAAGAAAGAAAGTTTGTACTGATATGTCATTACTTACAGTAACACCCAAGTATATTCAAACTACTCATTCAAACTACTTATTTTAGTTTAGTTTAGCTATGGAAATTGTTACTTTGATAGATTACAGCCGCTAAAAAAGCTGCAGTTGTCTTTCTTTATATTCAATAACAAGTTTGTATCAGCCAAAAGTGGCCGAAACTGTTTTAAGGTGGAGTTTCAAGCCTAACAATGCAATCTTTAATTACAGTGAGACACTCTTTTTTTGTTTTGACTATATAACCTAAAAATAGATCTTCAAATTTCTGATAATGACAGTGCAGCAAAATAGAAAAGGAAAATTACACTTCATTGAATCAACTTCACATTTTAGCTGATGCCTCATGATGTAATTTTTTGTGTCTAAGAAGAATTATTTTCTTTAAGCCCTCATTTGATTCATTGATGGAATGTGTTTATTGCCCTGGAGCATTTTTTCACAATACTTTTCACAATGCCAGAACCTTCATAATCCAAATATATTATCTTAACACGCGTTACCAGCTCTTAGCTTGACAGGTATATTGTTCTCGAGAATGTTTAAACACAGCTTTGCGTGTGCCGGGTACTGATCTAAATTAAACTCAGGTTTCTGAGGAAGATTCCATGATTAATGCTCCGTCTTGTCTCCACAAGCCCGGCCATACCGATAAATGCATAGACACAGTCTAAGATGAGTAGAATCAACCACTGGACCGGCTAGACAGGAAGTAGGTCAGCTGTCTCTGACGCGGTGATAGGGGATGAGGGGGGTGGGGTGTAACCCACAACTGCTGCTGATGATGATGATGATGATGCTAAAGCTTTGTGCTTTTGTGTCTGTAATTATCTGGAACCGAGGTTGTTCCGAGGAAAGGGCTTGCCTTTAGGTACACAGGTGATCTCTCAGTCAAACAAAGCTGAAGACACAAGGCGGATAGAGCTGGATGGCCGTTACAGGAGTGAGAGAAATGGATTTTCATGTATGCTGTCTGTGCACTTCTTCCCTCTCTCTTACCCTGTGGCTGTCTACTGCCTCTCTGCGACATTTGCCGCTGTCACACATCAAACACCAGCAGCACCTGTGTGGATGCAGCCTGTTTGGCTCGAGCGTGAAAAGGCCGGGGCTGGCGGGGGGCGCGCCGCCACTCACAATGACAGCCAAAAAGACCCAAGGTCTTTCTACAGACAGTGGTTTTTATGTAAAAGGGATGCGAGCACGCGTAGGTCAGAGCGCGTCAGAAGTTCTGGCTCATCCAGTCAGCTGATGAGCGCAACAGATGGTAAACCAGCAGGAAGCACAGACACGGCCTCACACACACACACACACGCACGCACGCACACACACTCAACCTGGCAGTCCAGTCATGTGCCGGGACTCAGTTGTGAGGTCTGAGATGAAAGAGAGACTTGGACACAGATATGTCGAGGGAGACGGGATAAAACGAGGAGGTGTAAATATGGGAACGGCTCAGAAATTTGGAGCTGGAGTTTAGCGGTGATGGATGGGAGGGGGCAGAACGAGAAGAAAAGAGCAGAGGCTGAGTTTGGGCCAAAGGTGGAGATGTGACCAGTGACTAAAGTAGTCCAAGGCACGGACCCTCCTTCCAGAGCTTCCCCCTCCCACCCTTTCTGTCCTTGATGCCCAGTAAGGCCGCATTCCTCAGCCCCTCGCCGTGGACGCCATAGTAACGGGGCCATAGCAGTGCCCAAGGCTTACACAGAGCTTATTCATGAATAGTCTATATACTGTATGGCAGTTTGTCACTGAGAAATGCCCCTCTCCCTTCCACCCTCTCTTCCATTCTGCCTGCTTGCTTCTAGTTGACCTATTTCTCCACACCGAAGTCACTGATGGGTTTACATACAGTCTTTAACTCTCTGCGATGGAAGTATTAAAATGTGTGAAGTATGTTGTTGGGCCTGAAAGGGAATCTTTTGCCACGGCAATTTCTGAAGCTGACCTCTGCAGAAAAGTCACATGAAGAGACTTGCAAACACATTCTTGGGCATGCATGGCATGATTAATATCCAATATAATGCTAAAAATAATCAAACAAGCTATGATTTTAGTTCCATGCTTTCAAAACACTAGATGTGACTCAGCGTTTTCTTCTTAAAAAGGACACGTTGGAGCGTAGGTGCTCTGGAGACTCATGACCTCGTCTTTGTAAACAAGTCACATCCCTCATAAATGTCTGTATCATGTGATTCAGTGCAGGAAGGTAGAAAATGGATTGAAAGGCCTGAGAGAGAAATAGGGCTGTGGTCGGGAATCGAGAGCAAAGCATGAATGATGAGGGGAGCGGGTGGCAGGCAGAGGTGGGAGATGACAAGCTGGCAGTGATTGGCTGGTGATGGGCAAGGAGCGGAAACCCTGAGGCTCGCATCGTCTTCCCCAGGCTGTAAATCTGCGATTAGGAGTTGAGCACTATTAACATACTGTCCATGTCTGTATGGGATGAGCTGGGAATTAGGCTCCCACAGCATCTCAAAAGTAAAAGCAAGCAGCGGTGAGCTATGTCATTAAGAGTAAGTGGGTTTATGAGAGGCAGACTCGGCCCCAGCGTGATTCCTATCATCCTCTTTTGCTCCTTAATTCAATCCACCTCACTCTTCTGAAATTCGCTTTCTATTGTAACTTTCCACGCTCACCTGGTATTTGTGTACACAGAGACGCACGCACCATGTCGTTGAATTCCGATCGAATAATTATAGGTTGTTCGTCATGTGTAGCAGCAGTTTTCTTTGCGGGGACTGTTGATCCCGGGCTTCAGTTCCAGAGCCCTGCGAAATTATTTACAGAATCAACTTGTTATGGCTTCTTGAGGGGAACATAATTAGTTTTACACAGTACATAAACAGCATCCTGTCAGCGATGCTGTGCAGCAGAGGTTTGGAACAATCTGGGAAATGTAAATCCAATGGTATTTAGAGATGTCCAGCTGTGTAATGCACCGCTATATCCATTAAACAGCTTCTATTTTTATTAGTATCTGATTCTAGGAAGGCACTGCTCAGTAGTTTATGATCAGACCTACACCTGCGAGGCAGCTGGGTTTCCAAGCCTGTGAAAAGTAGGATGATAAGACATTAAACAATGTGTCCTGTGGTTAAGGAATGTTTGGGTTAACATGACAAAGTGTTCAAGGCTGTTAACTTGGCCTCTAAATTCAATTGGAGCTGGAGCATCTGTGGGATTTATTATTTTTTTGGGGGGGGGGATTTATGCAAGTCCCTCCTCGCAACTTCAAGGATCTGCTGTGGAATCACAGTTTGATGCCACATTGGTGTTTTTGGAGCAAAGGGGACTGACACAGTGCAAGAAAGAAGGTCATAATCGTTCTCTCTGTGTGCTATTAATGTCATCTTCACTCATATTATACCTATTCATATGACAAAATATGTCCTTATTTTAAGTTGATATACAGACAGATCTCAAAGAAAACTCCCTTTTTATAAGACGATGTCATGCCCCTGATATTAAAACCTCCATTAAAAAATCTGCTACCCCTATAAAAGGGTTGGCACTGGCTGCCGTGCACGGTTAAGCGGTCGCTCTGTGTTCCGGGGAGAGTGGCAGTGGGTGAATCTTGTGCGTGAGTGATTAAACGGCGTGGAGAAAATCCTAAAGCCCTCAATTTTACATTTATTAAAATATCTAGTCCAATCTCAGTTTGAACCTTTCCACGGATAATCACTAGATCTACACACTTTTTGGAAAGAAATCTGTGTTATGGGCACCTGCAGCAGTTACCGTCTTTTGTCATGTCGTTTTTAAGGCTTGTTTGTGATTACATCAGCCAGGAGCACACACGGTAACTGAGTGTGCCATTTGTTCTACTTTTAGCATTTTAATGTCGGGAATTGGATTAGCTTTTTATTATATAAGAGTTGAGGGTAAGAATGCAGTGGGTAGGGATTTAGGTAGGCTTGCAGACTGTAAAAAAATGAATACACACGGTATGAAGTGGTTTTCGCAAGGACTGTAGCCCTGCACTCTAACAATGCATTATTAATGAGCTGTGCTGCCCATGCACCCATATTCCTTGTATGGTAGAAAAGTGTGGATCCAGTGTATCATGTACCCAAAATGAAATAAGCCTCACCATACTTTGTGAACAAAACCCCTGAGGAATCATTGCATTTAAAAACAAAACAAAGTGATGCACAGAAAATTCTCAGACCTGGTTGTGTGTCGTAAGGATTAGTCATCAGTGAGCATTTAGGGTTACGCTTTGAAAGCTGCAATGGATGTGTCACATGAATGAAGGTGTCCATGAAATTTCTGTTAAGAACTAAATAATATTCACATCAAATATTGTATGTTTTTAAAGGGATTATGTGTGTGCGTATGATTCTGGTTCTTGATCCGGCTACCATCATTTCCCGATTCTGAGCGAGTGTTACAAGGAATTAAATGTTTTACTGCTATTCAGCAGAGCTTCGCGCAGACGTGCATCGTGATTCACCGGCCACCGCCGAGGTCATGTGACAGCCATGTGACGCTTGCAAAAGTACAGCAAGGAAAAACAAATGAACAAAAGGGGAAGAGAGCGGAATGGCTGCAGTCATAAGGAACTTTAAACCACACACATGCATTTCTGTATATCCACTGACAAAGGCTGGCACATGTTGTGAGCTCATTCCGCAAGTGGCCTATGAAATATGAATGATACTGCACTATATTTTTATCAGCGAGCCTCAGGACACGTATGAATTGGAGCAGCAAAAGTGCCCCTTTTCTTTTACCAAAGCACTCATTCTGTGCAACGTGGATTGAAGACTTGAGAATGCATCCTCCGGTGCTTGAGGTTTCCATGTGCATTCATATTGCTAGCCTGTGCTTGTTTGCAAGATTCCATTCCTGTTTTTTTTTGGTACGTCAATCTGTTGCCTTGGGAGTTGCTGTCAAATGCTGTCAGAGCTTTGTATTGGCCTCTGAGAGTGTACGCACACTGTTGCTTGCCGTCCCGACTAATTTATGTTTTTACATTTCGCACAGGTGTTTAGAGAGACATTCATTCCTCATTTTGTGCCCACTCATACTTGTTAGAGGATTTGAACAGTAACCCCTGCGTAGGAGTCCTTTTTTGGCACGGCGTGCGAGTCTGCTTGCGAGTGCGGTTTCGAGAGTGCGATAGAGCGAGACAGCAGGAGGATGTACTTGAGACTGAGAGTGAGAGAACGACCGTGTGCATGAGGGGGAAGCGTTTTCGGGTCAGCGTCTGCAAAACGCGTCAAAGAAAGAAGGGTGAAAAAACAAATGACAAGAAAAGGAAGGAGAGCTGGAGAGAAGCACAAAGCCCTGTCTTCAGAAACGGCTGACAGGTTGACAGGTCTGCTGAGACCAACAGAAATAAGCATATAGAGACAAACAGAGGAAGGTTGTGTTGGGGTTAGAGAAACAGGGGAGGGGGGGGGATCATAGAAGTTACTTTCCAAAGTTATAAACACAGTAAAGGATTTTAAACATACAGTTTATATGTGGAGTTCTGTTTTACCTGGGGCTCCAAATACACCTTTTTAAAGCTTTTTCTTTCACTCTAACCATATTTCTTTCTTTTTTTTTGTTTTGTTTTGTGTGATGCGTCAGTACATAGTTACATTCACTCCAGCAAAGTTAGCTGCAAGTTCAGCTGAAATTTAACAGCCATGGCATGAATGTGTGAAGAGTCAACTTAGAAAGAAGAAGACTGACGGGGCAAGGAAAAAAATACAGGAAAAGAAATGCTGTCAGTATGAGACAGGATATGAAGCAAAGTTTGAGATTCAATACATTAGTGTATGTGAGGCTTTTTGGAACAGAAATTCTTCGTTTTTGAGGGGGTTGGCTACTCTTTAAAGTGGATTTATTGTGTGATGTTGTGCATTTGATTGACGTTCAATATATTTGGTTGAATCAGCAGTAAAATTAGCCTGTAGCTTGGCTTCGTGTGCAACAACTTCTGTGTCCAACCCTTATTTCACGGCATGTACTGTATAATTGTTATGCAATGCAATATATATATACATACATATAGCATTACAAGGCTGAGCTTTCCATGTAAAATGTAGATGGAAAATGAACTTCAGAAGCTAGGGACTCTCACTGGAAGATGAAGATGCCTAGTGCAAAAAAGTGGAGGAGTAAAGCTGCATCGCCTTAGTGCATGACACGGCTCCATCATTTTACTTTTCCAGACTTAAATTCTTACAAGTGCTGGCAGGACCTTTTTGAACAGGAGGTTTAGGTTTGATGAGGACAATGCATCACTTTGACCAGCATTTGGTAAACTGTGGTTGATGCCTCAGGAATAGCGGAGGGATAGATCTACCCTGTTTATGGCCAAAAGGACGTTTCTTTGAACATCAGTATATTTATTCGCAAACCCTCTTTTGGACGTCTGCGTTTTGCTGTAAAGAACACAAGATGAATAATGACAGCATTTAGCCTAAGCTTGTCGGCGTTAAGAGAGAAGGAGACGTAGCAGAAGCTGGTAAAAGCTCCCGAGTGTCTCTGGGACTCTGAAAGTCATTCACTTTTGGAATGGGAGGCGTGTTGGCAAGAGAAACTTGTCCTGGACTCTGTCAAGGAACGAAAGAGAGTTGTGTAGATTTAAAAAAAATAAAAGCGGAATGAGAGGGACATAGATGGACTTTGGCTGGGTGGAAAACAGAAGCTGGTGGAGGAAAAACGGTCGTTGAAGAAGGAGAGGGTGAATGCCAGCTATTGTTGGAATGTCGTAGCAACACGCAGCAGCGGAGGGGGAGGTGTGTGAGTAAGTGGGGGTCAGTGGGTTTTATGCTCTGTTTGAGGTGCTTCCACTTCTATGTTGGCAACCTAGCGACTGTGGGCTTGAATTATTAGGGAGTCTGGAAGCAGGCCTAAAAGAATCCGGTACTGCATTTCAGAGCATTGCATGAATACTTGGAGAGGTTGGTGAGCAGAGAAAGACATGCTGCTGAGTCTGACCAAAAAGCCACTGGACAACCATCTCACTGAAGCCCCAGGCAGTTATTTTTGGTGAGCCGGACTGGGTCCCAGTGCAAATAGAATAAAAAAAATAAGGTAGAAAGCCAAATTTGCTGCTTGAACACTCACAGGGAGACATTCCTCTCCTATAAACAGAGGTTTCATCAGTGCAACAACACGACTGGCTGGATATTCCTTTCATTGGCTGCAACAAAGCAGATTATTGGTTTGCCTGGTGGCAAAGAAGGTCATTCGTTATAATACCCTAGCAAAGCTGCTGTCAAACATAACAAACATGCTAATATTCAGCAGGAATTCTCATCACTTTTAAGCTATGTTGAAAGCTCCGCTCAGGTTTGAAAGCTATTCATTCTTCTAACTTTTTAAGAAACTCTTGGCAGATGATTCTGTAACTGAACTAAAGGATTGGATTGTCTTAATCCTAACTACTCCATTATGTTTCTGTTGTCATTTGCAGGAGCCTGCTGGGATCTTCGAGCTCGTTGAGCTGGTTGGAAATGGCACCTACGGGCAGGTGTACAAGGTAAGACATGTCTGCAAACAGGACTGAAGTAAACGTAGTACACAAGAACAGGAGCTCGCCCCAGGGATAAAAACAGCTTGCAAGATTCTGGCGAAATGGAAACAAGAAGCTTACATTCCCTATGTTTTTTATCCTTAAATATCTTAGTGGTAGTATTCAATGAACTCTCCCAGATGAGGTATTTTAAAGTGGAAATATTTGGGGTCCATGTGAAAGCTGTGTTATGCAGGACTGAAGTTGTGACATCAGTGTGGTTTGAGCAATGCGTCTGTCAGTTGGACTCGGCTGTTTACCACAGTATCTCTCTGTCCGTGTCGCTGTCTCGGCTTCCTCTTCTCTTGCAGCCTGTCACTTTTGACGTGGCGGCCCGTTCCGTTATCTCCCCCTGTAATAAACACGTGTTCGTTAAAGAACGCCGGTCTGGCGCTGGCACCCATAAACCCCCTGCGAATGGACCGATTCCGTGTGAGAGAATGGGTTTAATGGATCGCGGAGCCAAGGTCAGGTGTTGATATAGAGAGGGGGTGTTCTTACAGCTGATTGGACCAAATCAAAGGTCAGACGCGGGTCAGGCATATGTCTTCACACCTCGCGGAATAATCCGGCATCCTCATGCATGCTTGCTCGCTGGCAAGGCTCGGAAAGGGGGAATCAAACGCGGAGAGAAAGGAGAGCGGGAGAATTATGTGTAACCACGTATTGCTGACTCGGCTGTGTCTCGTGTCTTGGTGAAAGTCACGGCTCATTTACCTGCTGACGTTCAGCCAGTCCTGTAAGCTAGCCACTGGATGGGTATAACAATAGTGCTTGACAGTGAGGTCCGGGAGCCATACGGCTAAACGCTATACTCTCATCTGACTTGCGTGGAAATCGTGCTACTTCTTTGTGAGGAGATATAGCAATAAGCTTGTCTTTGTAGTCGTATGAGGAAAAACACCTTTCTAATTCAAGGTGTTTGACAAAGCATGCTAAAGCCACATGTGTCATTTAGTGCTGGAGGAAAAAAACTGTTAGGAATGAGTAAAGGCTGGACTCCTACATGAAGATAAGGAGCAGAGGCGCTTGAGGAAAAATGCCATCTATTTAAAATTTCTCATGCAGTTGAGATTCCTCGTCCAGGCGAGTCGCTTGAAGAGGATCAGCGTGTTGTGAGCAGGTGAATCTCTGACTCACTGAGATGATAAATTGACCCTCAGCCTGCTGGGTATTATAGAACTGGAATTACTCTGGCTCTCCCACAATCATTTTTACACCCTTTTTTTATCAGAAAAATAACATGCCAGAATGCGTTTTTGGCACATAGCTCTTTCGGTATTCCTACGCCTCAATCTGAGCGAAAAGTTGTAACTTGAATGTTTCAAAATTGCAGAGAGTTTTTTTTTTCTTGCTTTTTGACCTTTGGTGCAAATGAGTATGATTTAAGACACTCTTGCCCAAACTGTTAAGTCATTGTTTTTCTTTTTTTTGCAAATACCAAAACACCTTTGCACACATTTCGGCAACCAGTGAGCTTCTGCAAGAGGTTTAGACTGACGCACACAAACCCACACACACACACACACACACACACACACAAATATTCCCCACCACTGTTCTTTGGTAGTTCACACACCACAAACAGAGACTGCATCTTGTGCTCACACACAAGTTGGTGTTAAAGCATAAATTGTTTACAATGATACAAGTTGCATCATGCTTCTTTTCTTTTTCCAAGTGTACTGGTGTTGGGGAGTTTCTGTGTGTGTTGGGGCTCCCTGGTAGAGTAGAGCCAGCACTCGTGTCCCATCAAGTAGCACAAAGTGATATTGCAGGTATATCTGGTCTATCCTGACAGTATCTCACCGGGATGGTACATCCTGTTTTAAAAAAATAATGTCATAGAAATTATGTTTTTTGAATTCTCTATATCTATTTAACCCTTAATGCACTTATAACAGGTTAAACCAGGTTAAAATGGTATTGTGTGCTGAGTTTTTGGACATTTATCCTTCAACAAAGACCTGACTTGAATACCAGTCTGCTGGATTCTGTTGCAATACTCTTAATTCGGTGCATGCTGGATGAAACTCGACCAACGCAGGTTTATCCATGCACGCTTTCGTTGCTGTATGTATATAAGCGAAATGGTCGGTAGGGTGTTTTATGTTATTGGTGATAGGACACCAGTTATGTGTGGGCAAGCTGCTCTTACTGCGTGTCTGGGAGCAGGAGATAACAGGTTTATCCTCTGCTACATCAAGCTCATGTAGTTAAATGATACAGATCTGCTCATAAGTGCTTTTTTTTCTCCTCCCCTCTTTATCCGTCTCTTCCTTCCTACATACATAAAAAATCTCAATTAAAAGAATAAGTCTTTAAAATGATGTTTTTAGTTGCAAATTCCTTGTCAGCAAGATGCAGTTATAGCAAAAACCGTGGATATATCTTTTCTGCCTATCTATCCGTCTGCTGGCTCGTCTTTACCCTTCTTCCTTTTGATCCATCACACTTCTCATACTTTACTTTTCAGGATTTCTTTTATCAATATGTAATTGCACTCCTCTTCTTGTTTCCCTTGGTTTTGGGGCTGAAACTTTCCCAGTGAGTTGCACTTAACAGAGCAGCCCACAGTTTGAGTATATATAGCCTCTGCTGGCTGCCTTAAAAGGGCCATAAATAGAGAACATGGGTAATGCTGAATAATTAAATACACTCTCTACACTTTCCTCCCTCTATGTCTCACACTGCATGTTTCGTCCTTTAGCTTTCTCCCGTGCTGCTTTACCCCTTATCTCCTTCATTTTATCGCTCTCCCATTTTTATTATCATCATTATTATTATTATTATTGTTCTTCTGTCTTTTTTTAAAAATGCATTTATTTTGATTTACTTCTATCATGCCTCATGCATTTGTAATTTACCCTGTGTCTGTTATTACTTTTTCATAATTCTTATGGTGGTTTAAATTCCCCAAAGAGACAGTCTGTCCTTGATGCACAAGGTGCATGGATGCAAAAAGGAAGGAGCAAAAATCCTTTCCATCCAGGCATGGTCTGAAACGATGACTGACAGGCTAATTCAGTGGCTAATTGATTAATCCTGGCATTTATTTATTTATTTATTTATCTACCCATCCATCCATCCATCCTTCCTTTAGTCCTGGTGGGTGACAGAAAACTGCTAATCATATCTCAGTCACAGGAACAAACCGACAACACATTCAGGCCATCGCCTTATCAAGCGCCTTCTCGGCTTTGGCAACAATGAAGCATTTCCTGTGTTTGCGTAATATCATGTGCCCATGGTGTGTGTGTGTGTGTGTGTGCGTGTGTGCGCGCACGTCTGTGTTGTTTTCCCATTTGACACTTCACAACTGTGCTGTCTCCATGCTCCGAAGTGGCAGAAGAAATGGTGGAGAGGAGAGGAGAGGAGGCAACCAGCCTCCCTCATGACAGAACCCTCTCGCTGGGTTCCACCTCAAGCAAAGTGCACCACGCAGTCTTTAAATATTCACCAGTCAGTCTGGAAGCGCCCTCCCACACGCACATACACACACACACACACACAGACACACACACACAGACACAGTGAAACAGAAGTGACAGTTGGGGACCTGGGCCATATGGGCTTTTATACAGTATGCTCACTCATTGTGACAGTGACTCTGTACAAAAGGCAGCTGTGTTGTTTCCATTTATTGTTGTGATGTCTGTGGGCATTCAGTGTTTTTCCTTTTTGTTTTTATGGTAGACGGTTGTTATGGCGAGTGGTATTCTAATCTACAGTTTATCATTACACCGTCTCTATTTTCTTAACCCCCTTTTATGCATAGAGGTCACACATTTTCTTTTGTATATTTATGTTTTTATATTTCAGATGTGCATAGGCCACACGGGTGAACCATGCAATAGGAAACATTTAAAAAATGTCCACAATGATATTCTGTTAAAAGGCACCTGAGATAGACATACATATTATGGGTCTGAATTAGCAGAAGTGAGAAAACGGATGAGATAGTGGTGAATATTTGAATAGGATGAGAGTTTCTATATTAATGCATTATTTTAAGAAATATTAGAATATGTTCTTATTGTAACATAGTGTTTCATCGTGAAAAATCTTGGATACCTCAAAAAATCCTTGAGTAAAGAGATTTATTACAGAATAAATGTTTCAACAATTTTAATGCCTTAAAAATATAAAACACTGGGGAAAAAAATCCAGACAGAAATGATTATAATCCACACATGAAAGGATTAAATTAGGAAGACCTGCCTGCATGTCCCACAAAAATAGCTGTCAGCAGTTATCTCATGTCAATGGTATCCCGATGATCCCGTTTAATGTAAACCTGTGGATGTAAACAACCAGATGGGATGTAGATTAGGATTAAGCCTTGGATAAAAACCTCATCTCCTTTTCCAATCACACCTGTATCTTTTTCTCTTTGCCTCCCCATTACCTTGCACTCTTTACAGACAGTGTTTTACCTGTTTTTTTTCTTTTGTCTTCTTTACTTCCCTATTCTGCCTTCCTAAGAACTGAATAAAACTTCAAAGCATTTGCTTTTATCTTCCTCATCTGCTGGAAGTCATGTTGCAAAGTACCATGGGAGATTTTTCTCTGCATGCCTACCACCTCTTTACCGCAAAGAGGAATTATGTGCGTGCTTACACTTCTCTCATGCACACATACACACACACACACACACACACACAAAGAGACAGACACACAGACAGACATAAATACATACAGACATTAATACATGCATACATACACACACAGACACACAAACAGAAAGACAGACAGACAGACAGACAGACAGACAGACAGACAGACAGACAGA